CTACGCTTTCGCTAGTTAAAGTTATTCTCATAACTCTTAGCAATTTAACATGACTCCTAACCGCCTCGTAGCCTACGCTTTCGCTAGTCAAAGTTATTCTCATAACTCTTAACAACTTAACATGATTCCTAACCGCCCCCAAGCTATAGTCACATGCGTTCGCAACTAGCCCAAAACCGTCACAGAGGTATGCTAGCATAAGAATTCTATCACGAGTTAGGTTTTGCCCCAGAGCGGCGAACGCATAGTCTTCAGAACATCTCGAACCGCCCCGAAGTGCCAAACACGGGCACATCATCTTTGCCAACATTCGATCGTCGCGAAGCAACAAATTTCACAAGGAATTTTCATCCCACTATTTGCAAAGCGCCCCAGAGCATTGTGAAACGTTCGTAATCTAAGAAACCGCCCGGACGCGCAGAAATTGCGCTTTGCATCGTTATCGGTGTAAAGAGCCTCGAGGTACTAGGCCCACAAAAAACTTCGCCAAATTCCTAACACTAGACGAACCGCGAACAAACACTCTCAACGCGCGATGTGCGAGAAGGAAAAACAAAGCAAAAATGCCTAGAAAAAATATTACATAAACCTCGCCCGGAGGCGGAATGTATCAGGTGCCCCCGAAGGGAAAGAACGAAGAAAATTGTTCAAACATTCAAGTAGGAGATTAAGTGGAGCCATCGTCATTGGAAGCGGGTTGGTTCACCTCTTCGCCGCCAGTGGTCGCCGCGGTCTCAGATTGGGGCGCCTGCTCGGAGTTGACATCGTTGTCACCCCAGAACTCAACCGCGTCCCAGACCGCGTTCCGATCCCAGAGCACATAACGATGGTCACGACGAAACAAGTGACGGATGGAAGCCACTGTGTCCCGCAACAGCTTCTGGTACTTAGCTTCATCCGCTGCCTTGAACTCGTCTGACTCGTAGAAGGAAGCCCGTGCACTCTCTCTGGCCTGGGCGAGGTCAAACTCCCACTGCACTTCCAGCTGGGTCATGCTGGACTTCAGCTCCTTCACCTTCTCTTGCAGCTGCTTCTCCCGCGCGGTGGCCTCCTGCGCCTCTTTCCTCGCCTGCTCCAGCTCCGACGCTGCCTGCACTCCTCCTTGGCGGTTCTCAGCTCAACATCCTTCACCTGCAAAATTGCCTCCTGCTCCTTAAGAATCTCGTCCTGCAGCTCTTAGCGGAGACCCTCACGCCCCTCTTTCAGGTACTCTTACAGCGTCAGGATGCGAGTCTCGCGGGCGCCCAAGTCATCTAGGAGGCTCTCGTTGGTCATGATGAGCTGTTTGATCCCGAACTGAGCATGAATTCGCAAACTCATGTCAGCACTAGGCAACTAATGAGAGAAGAAAACCAAAATAAAGTTAACACATTCACCGCAAAGAAGCACCGCGCAGTCGTCCCGACAAGGTGGCGAGTGTCGGAGGTGGTGGCGAGAGCACTCGAGACCCGCACGTATTCGCTCGGAACCGCGAACCCTTCGGTGATCGCATGAAGCGCACGGCGTGCCGGTTCAGCTGACGAGTTCGCGTGCGGGGAATACTGCGCGCTGGAGGACAGCTCTGTCGTCTTCTGCTTCTTTTGGCTGGCTGGCGGTTCCGTGCGCTGGTCGACTAGGACGCTCTTCATTTTCTGCTAGTCCCTCGCTGGTTGCTTCTCCTTAACCACCACGACGTCCAGCGAACGCTTGGTGCCGCTCCTCGCCACATCTTGGCTGGTGGGGACGGTCAGCTTGAGGACTCCCGAGCGCCCCATCGCTAGATGCGATTGAGTGGAACCGCCCGCAGGTCTCTGCCCTTCCGAATCGTCGGGAGCAGAAGGGGTCGCCGAGTGGGAGCCGCTCGCAGCCATCTTAGGCGGTCTGGCCGAAACGCATACTGCCGAATCCCTAGAACATAAATACATAAGTAAAGGCATGAGCAAACAACATCCCACAAAAACAAAGGGGAACTAACTAACCGTGGAAGCGCTGCACAATCTCAAGAACATTGTCATACCCGTGCGGAGGCAACCGAAATTGGACGGTCGACGTGATGCGGTTCAGATGCGCCCTAAGATAGTGAAGTGCCTTGACGCCCTCATCCCAATCGTTCGTGCGCCCGAATGAGAATGCGGTCAGCGGTTCTACATTCCCCGCGTACCCCTTCCCGGAGGGACGGGCGAAGAAGTATTCGATATTACCAGGGGGAGTCTAGTTTGGGAGACCCATACACGAACCCCACCTTCGGCATGACCAACAGTTTTTCGACCCGGTCATAGCATACAGCAATTGGAAGGCGTCGATCGACGGTTCCTCCTTGAGGCGGTCGCAGGCCGCACGATGAAATATTGAATGAAAGATCACGGAAGGCGAGAGGCGGCTTAGGGAGCAGTTAAGGTGCAGAAGGATCTCAGTGAGGAGTGGGTCTACTGGGAACTCCAAAACCAGACGCACGTGCTCCGTGAAAATGGTAATCCACCCCACCGGGCACAAACTGCATCGCCCTCGGGAGAGGGAGCCGCATATTCCCAATCTGTCGGCAGCTGGTGCCTATGGAGCTAGCGGAGCACTTGCGCGGGTGAATAAGCGGGCTTGTAGAGCGGCCCATAGTCATATACGACACCGAGCACCTCTTCTCCCTCCCACATGTCCGAGTGCAGTTGCACACGGTACACGCGGTCTGCAACCGCCTGGAAGGGATGAACTATCGGCGCCTCTGATAGCGCCAGAGAAGGCAAGTCCGCGACAGAGTCCTCCCCAGCCGACTCAGGGGATGCGTCTCTCAGCGCGCTTTCTGACAATAGCTCCACAAGGTTATCGCCAACCCGGGAGGTCTCTCCACGCTCAGCCGTCGAAGTAGCAGTATCGATTAAAGCGCCCGACCCTAGCCCTAAAATGCAACCGTCAGGCCTATCTAGACGCTCTCTCGCTCCAACCGCACCACCAAACCCACATAGCAATTCAATACCCTCTGAGTCTCATTCTATGTCAGATAAACTTAAAGGGTGAGAAAATTCGGGCATACCTGCTCCAGTGGCAGGACCGCTCGCACTAGCGGTTTTTGCACTCGGGCGCGGCACCCGCGCTACCTCGGGGTGCTGTAACGTTGCCGGAGGCGGTGGTCGCCGCCGCGCCGGAGGCGGTGGCTGTGGCCTGGTCGGAAGCAGACAGCGGCACAACGTCGCCGGAAAGATCACGATTCTGGATGTCAGAGGGGGTGGTGGATTGAGAACTTTTCGCCATTAGGAACTTCTTTTTCTTCTTCGATCGTTTCTGCTTTCGCCTTAGTGAAGTGAGAAACTGACGCCGCTCCGCCGAGAGAGAAAGATGATTCTCCAAGTAACGAGAGAGAGAGAGAGAGAATCGAGAGCACCGAGCAATTTTGAAAAATGGACGGAGTGAGCAAATGATGAAGTGACTCAACGAAAGCTGATTGGGGATATATATGTGACAGAGGAAGAGGGGCGATGTGACGGTTAAGTGCCCGAGGCAGAGCCCTAGCTCACAAATTCAAAAAACGGGCAGGTGAAAGGACGTTCAGCCTGCCCGCTGTCAGAGCTCGGAAATCGATCTGTGCCACGTGTGCGATGCGTCCCCGCTTTGAAGGCCTGTAGGATGGTCAACTTTAGCTTAGGCGGAACAACCCTAGGTCTTCGACGCCTAGGGGCAGAGTAAGGAGATGAGGGGGCGCGAACAGCTCAACTAGCCGGAAAGCATTAGTAATAGCCGCCAAAACCCTAGGCTTTTACCGCCTAAGGGGCAATTGTTGGGTCGCGTAGTTGAGCGTACTTGGGCCTCGGGCCCAATAGGGTCCTCTTAGCGAATAAGCCCAATAAGAGAGCCTGGTCCAATCAGAAAGACCGGGTCAACAGGTGGTCCTTGACCGACTCGGGGCCCGAAAAGTAGCTAGAAGACGCCTGACATAAAGCGACTGCCAATGGCAGAAAAGTAAGGAGCCGTTGAGATACGCATCTTGTGTCAGGTAAGACTGGGCATTAATTGCCAGTCACAGGCGGCCTGCAGAAAGGCTAAAAGCCTGCTCAGGGCGCCTGACACAGCATTTAATGCATCAACCACCTTCAAACCAGGTATAAATACAGAGTGAGTGCATTAATGGTAAACTCAACTACTATCTATCTCTCTATCATAAATACATCTTTTCTCTCTTTCTCTCTCTAACTTAAGCATCGGAGGGTGTCCCGGGCGACCGCCCCGGACCCTTGTTTTGCAGAGTATCTGGAGCGCCCCCTTCTATCCAAGAACAGACGCCTCGCCCCAGCTCCACAAACCGTCTAGTATCTACCGTCTAGTATCTTTTCACCAAGGGGCTTGGGATCGAGCACTATCACCATCTACTGTCACAATTTGGCAAGTTCGGCATCCATGCTTGTGCTTGAGGAGGCGTATATTCCTTATTCATTTCGATTTCAATTTCCTTGTTTCTTTCGGTTTTTTTATTTATCATGGTTCTCTATCCCTCCCTACAAATCTTGAAGGGATTATGTTTGTCTTTTCTCTATATAAGGTCATAGACCGGTTACTGGCCGAATGTAAGAGAGTGTATCATAAAAGAGTGAAAATAAAATCATCAGTCGTCGTCTCTGTTCAGTCCATCGTTGATTGGTCTCGTTCACTACGAATGAGGATGCCACATAAAACTTTTTGTGTTTTGTGTTCTTTTGTGTGCTATTGAGTTCTTCAATTACAAACATGATTTGTTGGTGAATGCCCTGGATATTTTGAAAACTGCCATCGTCGAAAGTTTTGCGATGTGAAAATGAAACCCTGGAATCTTGGTTATTTCTCATTCATCCTTTGGTTTTAAGTAGTATCAGTTGTTGTTTGTGTAGACTAGAAACAGAGAGTAACTGGTTGATGACAGTTGCTTGATCATGACGTTCGTAGGATCTATGAAAGGGTGTTTTGGAAAGTGGTATGAAGAGAAGTGTGTATGTATTGTTGAGTGGTTGGATTAGTATTAAGCTAATATAGCTAGCTATGTATATTTTGGCCATAGACCACTTACGACACAAACTTCATTGCACAGAATTGAGTAGATTTAGGGGCTTGTTTTCATTATGTGTACAATGAGCAGTGCCATCCCCTTTAATCTTTATACATTCGAAATAACAAATTATTCTTACACTTGAGTGGACCTCCCGAGTCTTGGGTTCATGGTAGAGCTCTCACTCAGGCACCTGCTCAGGGTGATCAATTTGGTTTACAGTTGATATTTCACAACAACAGATAATAATCTCTCATTACAAGAGTTACCACACCTGCGATTTGGTTTTTACAGTTTGCTATTCCTTTGCTTCGACAAGCTCCCCATGCCCTTAGCCTTCTCCCTCAGCACAAATTTCTGCACCTTCCCTGTCGAAGTCTTCGGCAGATCATCCAAAAACACAACGCTCCTCGGCGCCATATAATGAGGCAGCCGATCTCTACAATACTGAATCACCTCCACAGAACTCAAGCTGCTACTACTACCAACCCCTTCCTTCACCTTCACGAAAGCACAAACCGTCTCCCCCCAGTGCTCGTCGGGTCTCCCCACGACTGCTGCCTCGAGCACGGCTGGATGGCTGAACAAAACGGACTCGACCTCGATCGTGCTGATGTTCTCCCCACCGGAGATTATGATATCCTTCGACCTGTCCTTCAGTTCTATGTACCCGTCGGGATGCTTCACTCCCAAGTCACCGCTCCTCAACCATCCGCCTTTGAATGCCTCATCTGTTGCTTCCTGGTTCTTGAAGTAACCGTTCATCACTGTGTTCCCTCTGAACATGACCTCTCCCATGGTTTTCGCATCTGCAGCAACACTCTTCAAGGTGACTGGATCTTTGACATCGATCTCTTCCATGCCGAGGTGTTGGACTCCCTGACGGGACCTGATCTTGGCTTGTTCTTCTCTAGGGAGGGATGACCATTCAGGCTTCCAGGTGCATATGGTGCCAGGTCCATAGGTCTCGGTCAGGCCATAGGAATGAGTGACGTCGAATCCTAGCTCTTCCATCTTAAATAGTACCTGAGGAGGAGGAGGCGCCCCACCAGTCATCACGCCAACCTTCCCTGGGAGCGGCTTCTTCTCATTATCCGGTGCATTGATGATCATGTTCAACACCGTCGGTGCACCACCCATGTGAGTCACGTTGTATCGAGCAATGCTGTCGAAGATCCCAGCTGCAGCGACATTTCGCAGACATATATTCGTCCCACCCATTGCAGCAACAGCCCAGGTGAAGCACCAGCCATTGCAATGGAACATTGGAACACACCACAGGTAAACCGGCATCGAATGCATCTCGCTGAGTAAAGCAGCAGCAAGAGAGTTCAGATACGCCCCTCTGTGGCTATAAACCACACCTTTGGGACTCGATGTAGTGCCCGAGGTGTAGTTCAATGCAATTGGTTCCCATTCATCGTTTGGCCGAATGATCTCGAAGTCCGGATCCCCCGTGGCTAGAAGGGACTCGTACGAATCTGGACTAGCTATTTGATCACCACTTTCCGCGATTACGACTAATCGAGGAAGCTTGGTTGATGTCTTGGAGAGGATTTGCAGGGCTCCCTGAGCAACGAGGAGGAACTGGTGGTCCACGAAAATGAGTTTCGATCCTGAATGTTTGAGAAGGACGGAGACCATCGCTGAATCGTGGCGTGTGTTGAGCGAGCATAGAACTGCTCCTGCCATTGGAACCGCGAAATGTAGCTCGTACATTGCTGGAATGTTTGGTGCCAAAGCAGCAACCTGATAAAAAGATTAGCAGTAAGTTATATTGTTACTTCACATTCGAAACAAAGGTATGCATCTGCAAAAGAACTATGAAGCCATAGTTTTGCAGCAGAAGTTCATCAACCAGTCAAAAGAAAACAGAAGAGTCAAGTCAGTTACTTCAAGGAAACCACCATGAGAAAACCTAAAACAAAAGAAGAAAAGGAACTTCTTTAGCCAATTAGTCATCTCCAATTCAAGACATATTCTGCAATCGTATCCGATTTGAACTCAATTGCATTCTAGAGAAATCGAATTCAAGTAAGCTGGGTCACTACAAAACCTTGGCAGCAGATCAATTAACCACCAAATTCACCATTACAGCGCTGATTATAAAGCCAGCAACTTTTTTTCCATGGGAGACAGAGAGGAGCGACTCTGCTTGCTTACCACATCTCCGCGGGAAACGCCGAGGGAAGCGAGGGAAGAGGCGAGCTGGACGCATCTCTGGCGAGTTTGGCGCCAGGTGTAGGTGACGGCGCCGTGGACGATGGAAGGGCGGTCGGCGTAGACGACGGCGGAGCGGTCGAGGAAGGTGATGGGAGATAAGGGGACGTAGTTGGCGGAGCATTTCTTGGTTCCTTCCATGGCTGGCTGGTTTGGGTTGAGCAGGAAATGGTGAGTGTGTGGTGGAAATGCTAGTTTGGAGGATCTGGGTTTGCTACTTCACCACTTGTCCTGAATAGTGGGGAGTAGAAAAAAGGAAGGGAATTTGAAGACGCTTTGTAGTTATTTTACGAATGATTACTTGCTTTTTGTAGTTGTAGTATATTATAGATTCGATTCACTTTGATTTCTTAGTTGTTTATTTTATTTTATTTCACTCCACTAATAAACCATAATGGTTCGTACATATAGTTAAATAGAAACCAATAATTATTTTCTTAACTTTTGATTCAACTAGTTAGTCATCCAATTGGAGGAGGAATTTAAGGAAAGTGGTGTGATTATTCAGATTACCGTCGTGTGATTATTCGAAATCACAGTATTGAAAAATATGTGGTGGAGGGATTTGATGCATAGGAAGTAGGAACTATGGGGTGATTTGGATGAGGAATTCTAATGGATCTATATGATACAATTGACTCGTTTTGAGATAATTGTGCCAGATTGACTCGTTTGGTAGCAGAAAATTTGGACGAAGTTATTTGGCATGGGAAATTCTGAATTGATTCATTTTGAGACAATTACAATTGTTTGGGGTGAGGGCAGGTAATTCGAATTGACTCGTTTTAAATGATTCATTTTGTAAAATGAGAGAATTGGCTAAATTGTCCCGTTTTGCAATTGATCCATCCAAAACAACCCATATGATTTTTTTTCAAATTGCCATAGTGAAACTAGTGGAGTTATCTTCGATTCATTGTTGTTTTCCGTTGGAGATAACTATGAGGGGAAAACATTAATCACTCACTCTATATGATTTGATTTTAGGTTACTTGATTCGTTTGCATAGTATATTAATGGAATGGTAGATCCATATGCATTTATTTAGGAATATGTACTCATTTGGAATTTGGAAACATGAAAATCGAGCTGTAAATAAATCAATACAAGTACTTAAATATAAACATTGATACTATTTTCATGCATATGCTTCTCAAAAATAAAAATAGGAGAGGATATAAGCATTTGGACATGTATTGATATTTTTCTATAATATGTGCATTTTATAGCCACATTAACATGGTAAGAGACACGTCGTAACATTCATCACAAACTTTTTTAGAAAGTTAAGTCTAACTTTAATCTTTTACAATTAGTTAGCTTAGCATCTATGTTTTTCATAACCGGATCGTGAGCCGAAAAAGTTAATTGTTCAATATTAATCATTATAGAATCGGTTGATTGTTCTATTGGTTAAGTCATGATTTGATTCGATTCTTGCAATTCAACCATGGGGTTGATAAAGATCCCACACAAGGCCCATTTAACCACCTGTCAAGCCCATCCGGCCCAAATGGAGGATGATTTCCCAGTCGGACACGTTAATAACTTGCGATAAATCAAAACCCGTTCCGCCACCGCGCAAACAAGGAAAGGAAACTGTAACCGTCCGATCAAAATTCAAAGAGGCAGCCCCGGCCAAGCCATCATCAATCCTCTGCTTATATTACCGTTAAAGCGCTCCTCCCTCTCTCTCATTTTTCTATTCAAAGTTTCAAACCCTCGCTCTCCGACTGCCATTCGCCAATTAGCAAGCAAACAATCAAACAAAGGGAAAAAGCGAAGAAAGGAAACCCCCGATTCCAGGAAAAAATGCCGACCATGAAGTTCGATCGCAAGCCGCCGCTCGCCAAATCGCCGATCCGCCTCCGCTCCCGCCGCGTCCTCCAGCCAACCTCCGTCTCCTTGCAGACTCCTCCCGGTAAGCCAATCAGTCAGCGCCGCGCCTACTTCTTGATCCCAAACTCTCTTCCGCCGCTTCCTCTTCTAATTCAATTTCTTGCTCTCTCACAGGTTCGTTGATGAAATCGGCGAAACCGAGCCGCGGACTGTCCAGTATTGATGTCGGCGGCGTCGAGGAACTCCGGCCAGAGTACCGTTCCATGTCCTGCGAACTTCGCGCTCTGGCGAAGCAGGTCCGCGACGAGCTCGGCGGCAACGGAGATCTGGCAGCCAAACCGAAATCCTCGCTCTACGGAGAAAGCTTGAGCGCGAATTCGAGTCCGCTGTTCTTCGAGAGAGGGAAGCTGTACGACGCGTACGCTGCCAAGCGGAACGAGCGGCTGCGGAAGAAGAAGATCGGCGGCGACGCGAGGGAAGATTTCGCCAAGACGCCGTCGTACAGATTGGGAGTGACGGTAGAGTCGTCGAAGAGGAGGGATTCCGCGAGGAAGATGGAGAGCCTGAGGAAATCCGTGGCGTCGGCTTATGGAGCCGGCCAGAGGCTGGCCGGTGGAGAGACGCCGAGGTACTTGTTGAGGAGTATGCGTAAAGACAGCAAGATTCCGACGGCGGCTCCCCTTCCCACGGCGATGAGCTTCGAGAGATCTGCGCTTCCAAGTGAACAGAAAATTGGAGTCCGGAGATCGGTCAGGAGAGTCTGAATTCCGATTGTTCTTGGCTGTCTTGCCATTTCTGTTTGGAATCATTTTAGGATAAAACTGCGGATTTATTTCCTTTATTTGAATCGTCCGCTTCTTTAAGACATTCAGTGAAATCTTATCTTCAGTCTACTCTAATTTCTACTGATACTTGCCTTTCAAGGATTCTCATCTTTGATCTTCCCCATTTTGTCATGTACAAGTTCGTACTACGATGGTTGTTAAGAGGCGTTGATTGATCAAATCGCGTATTAATAAGATTAGCAGAAGGTGTTAATTCGAATTGGATAAACTTATTGACCACACAAATCACATTTTACCTCGTCAAGATCTATCTTGATCAATTTGAGTAATCATCCAGGAGCGAGTTTTCAGGGATCGGACAACGAGAAGGTATGTGAACTGAGTGAAAATGTCACCTTCCAGTATGTTAGGTCTTAGATCAACTAAACTGAGTGAAAATGTTGCTGTTCAATAAATATACACTCTTCATGTTGTAACTAGCAGATAAGCTAGGCCTTTAAGGTATTCCACAATTTCTGATCCTCCGAGCTTCGAGCTTCCAAATACTCGATCAACGAATGTAATCGGAACCTGTACAAGGGCGTGAAAGCAAAGCTCTAATGAATTGATGCATTGAAATTCAGGTACACGAAAAGAAGGCTGGCGACAGAAATGTAGTACCTCCTCAATATGGTATCCTTTTCTGGAAGCACGAACGATCATCTCCATCTGAAATACGTATCCCTTGCTGACGACTGAAGTTATGATATCTTCAAGAGCTGACTTCTTATAAAGCCTTCAAAAAAATGTACTAATTTAGGTTCAAAATCTATGAACATCGAAACAACAAATGAATCCAGAATGGCGAGCTGAAGGTAACGTACCGGAAAGATCCTGTCAAGTCAGAAACACCGGGCCATAAGAATGTATGCGCAAGAACATTGGCTCCTCTACTGGTAAGCTTCCTCATAAGATTCCAACCATGGACCCCGCCTCCTTTAACATATCTCGTCCCAGTAACGATACTTGCACCCGTCTCCAACTGCTTCCTATTGCCACACCCCACAAGAATGTAAGAAATGGAATCAGTAAAAAGGAACTTACTTGCCCCAAAGAGGATCGGATTATAGAATATCTTACTTGATAAAGCTCGGCAGGTACTTTGGCTACAAATCACAGAGCACAGTTAAACAAGATAAGCAACAGAAGTAAATGGTTCTTGTGATAGATAGACTTACAAATTAGATAAAATGAACAAACAACTGGAACTCACATGGTGAGATAGATCAGCATCCATGATTACTACGAAATTGCCCGAGGCATGCTTCAGACCATGAATGTAAGCCGTACCTGAGTTGTTATCAACGAGTCAAAGAACCATAAATATAACATGAACATCAATTGGAGAAGAAGGTATGTAGTTTCTACCTACCAAGACCAAGCTTTCTGGGTCTAGCTCTTAGCAACTGCATTGCCATAAATAAAAAAAAATAAAAATAAAAAACAGAATGTGAATGACCCAGACTATAAGAAGTTTAGAGATCAACATATGGGTGTCGAGAAACATACAACACGGTCTTCGCCGTACACTTGCTGCAACTGCTTAACGATATCTTGAGTTCCATCTGGACTACCATCATCCACAACAATGATTTCAAAATCGACATCCCTGAATCACACAGAAGAGAAGCTTGTCATTACCAAAACTTACCAAAGCTTATAACAGGTACTTTCCTAAATAAATTCAACAGCCAGATCCCACTTTCAAACATGAAGCAACCGACGATCTACATAACCTCAATTTCTATCAGCTGACTGGGAAAAACAGTAATCAATCTGCCAAATACAGGTGAAATTTACTTCTAAGTATTAACTGAAGTCCTCTTTGCTAATCACATGGAAGTCAATGTTCCAATTTTACAGCACAAGCTATTCCTCTGCTTCAAGTTTCAACCTTTCACGGTTCCGCAAAAGAACCCATAACTTCAAAAGAGCAGCAATTGAGGAACTCAATCAAAACCAACCGCCGTTCGATTCGATTCAACATATATATGAAATTCGATATCACCAATTTCCCGAAATCAAGAGATCGCAGCTCACGAATTGGAGGACTGACCTGAGGTGCTTGAAAATGAGGTAAACGATGAGGGCGATGTTGAGTCTCTCGTTGTAAGTTGGGACGATTATACTGTACTTATTCTTCCCTTCGTTCTTCCACTCTCCTTCCGCCATTTCTGGCAAATCACGCCGGCGGATTTGCCTTAGATCTTCTCAATTTTGTCCCGGAGATTGTCCAGGTCCTTCAGATGAGTGGGAGCGATTTTGCGTAGCTCTTCCAACTTCCTTATTTCTCGCTCTGTCCTTCGTCGCCGCCGTCTGCCAACGAGACCCCGACGCTGCCGCCAGTTGAGATGGATCTGAGACTGCCTTAATCAGGTCAAATGGGCCGACCCAGCAAAAGAAATATGGGCCATCCATCCTAGTGTAGTTTGATGGGCCAGAACCTCGATAAGCCCATATATGAAATACTAAGTCTGCATATTGGTAAAAACTGTTTGCCTTCCCGCCGTTTCTGTCATGCTAAGAACAGAAAAGACACAGGATAGGGAATTAAAAATGGCAACATAATCCTATCCACGACGGATACCCTACCCGATCCAATTCGATCAAAATGGATAAAATTCATGTTGACGGATTACGGATCGGATATGGGTTTAAACCCGTTCTATTATTTTGCGGGTTGGGTTGAATTCGGGTTTAGTCATATCCAACATGTTACAACCCATACTCATCTAATTTGTTCTTCCTAATTGTCCTTGTAGAATGAAACTGATATTATGGAGTGGAGAGTGAAAGAACGCTAGTTCACAAGAAGGAAGAAACTTTAAATTAATTATGTTGTTTAAGGATATTTATCATCAACCCCTACGATTGAAACGACCTTGCCTAGAGCTTCTAACGATTTGTCTATCTATGCTTGTCAGGTAAGCACGATGTCGCGAATTGCGGAAGATCAAGTGGTCGAGTTTTCACTTGAGGAGGTCCAATCTGTGAGGTTTCGTACTTCTAGGACTCTGCTGGGACGGCTCTTTTCGGAGGCCACGTTCACTACTGCAGAGCTGAAAGAGGGGCTTGTTGAAGCATGGAGAGTGAAAGGCAACCTTAGGGTTTCACTCACGCAATTTGGCTTATTTGAGGTGGTGCTTCCAAGCGATGAAACAAGGGTGTGGATCCTGAAAAGAACGCCCTTGATAGTCAAAGACAGAATTTTCCATCTCCGGTCCTGGACGCCATCCATTTCCAGACGCACTTTTGATGAATTAGCTTGGTCGCCCTTTCGTGTTCAATTATGGAATGTGAAAGAGGACTGTTGCACTAAGCATTTTGGCCGGAAAATGGCAGCTGGGACTATCAGCCAGGTCTTGGAAGCAGATGTCTTTGCGTCCAAAGAGACGAATGAGTGCTTTGTGAAAGTGCATGCCCTCATTGATTTTACAAAGCCTCTGCGATCCCAACTCATGGCGGTCAGCGAGGAACTTGGACAGTTCTGGGTAAATCTCAAGTATGAGTTCCTTCCGACCGTATGCTTCCACTATGGGCGCGTGGGCCACTCCAAGCGCGATTGTGTGTTTGACCCCCCCCCCCTCCGGGGAAAGAGCGCTTTGGTTCGCATATGTCAACTAAGAAGCTTGGGCGGAAGATTTACATGGAGGATGATAACTATCCTAAGTTTCGATATACAAGCAAGTCTGTGTGGGTCAACAAGAATGTCCAAAGGCAGAATGATGGAATTGCTAGGACTACCAGAGATCGAGTGGAGGAAGGCCCGCGGAAGATTGTTGCGAGTACTTAGTCTCTAGGGGTGTCCCATGCTCGGCCTACAGACCCAGAAGGTCTCGGGAGCAAGAAGACTCAGTCGAGGCGGCGAGAACCAGCCAACCAGCTGGCCGGAGATCGGAATAGCCCAAATGGGTTTAATTTCAAAAAATCCCCTCGAGTGAAGATTGGGGGAGGGATCAGGCAACCTCAGAGGAAGCGCTCGTCTAAGACGAGTTCCCAGCAGGAAGTTAGGAACCGCCAACAACCGAATAGGCGCATGAAGCAGGATCCCCGTCCCCAGAAGGAGGTTGATCCTGTTGTGATGGTTCTCGAGCAGTCCAGAAGACGTCGACTGATTTGCAGGAGGAATCTGAAGAGGAGAAGACTGTGGAACTAGCGCCAAAAATGAAGAAGGATGCTCACAAAACTGTAGCCCAGCCAAGGGGTTCGGTTCCTCGGGTTCGCCCACGATTGAGAAAGGGAGGAGATAGGTGCCCTTTGCCTCTGTCCGACCAGGTTGAGGTCGTTACTCCACCTGATGCTATGCAGGAGCTGGAGGACAAGGAGTTTGGGGCTCCTCGTATTCAACCCAGTCCGATGACTCACCAGTTGGGATCTGACTCGGATGAAGATCCATCGATGGAGGGATCACATTCTTTTGAAATCAAGCGTCGATCACCCACTGAAGCTTCCATGAAAACTTCCCAAGTCTTGAAAGGGCGTGTTCACCAAGTGGTGGAGGCTTTCGAAGTAGGGCTTAGCATTGGACAAGTAGAACCTTTTCCCCAGAAGGGGGTGAGCTTGGGTCTGAATGAGTATGGGTCTAATCTGGTGGACCCAATCATGGAGAATCGCAAACGTGGGCTCGAGGAAGTGGAAGGGGATGTAGGAGATCCTCCTACTCCGAAGAAACAATTTGTGGAAGCAGCTGATGTTCTGGATAAGGTGGAAGAAGCCAACCTGGAGTGGCCCCCAGCAGATAAATGAGGCTTCTGGCCTGGAATGTGAGAGGCATTGGGCCTTCCCTCACCTTCCAAACTGCTTTAGGGCTTGTTCATTCTAATAAACCGGATGTAGTGTTCTTTTCTGAAACACGATCGGGCCGGCGTGTAGTGTCCCGTCGTATGCGGGGTTTGGGTTTTGATAGTTCACATTGTTTTTTTGTTGATGCAGTCGATGCATCGGGTGGGTTAGTAGTAGCTTGGGCCCCCGGAGTTGACACTTCGGTGTTTTTTCATTCTGATTTCTACATTTTTTCGCAAATTAATGAATGAGGTTTTTCTTATTTGGTGTTTTTTGTTTACATTAGTTGTAATGTTGCTGTTCGGGCCAACCAATCGGATCAGTTGCGTGGTGTTTGTGCGACTAGTCCACGCCCCTTTGTGTTCATTGGTGATTTTGATACTACCCTCCATGAGGGGGAAAAGGATGGGGGACGGGCTTGGAATGCG